TTGGGAGCTGCGAGTTGCTCTTTTGGCTTTGACAGCGGCGATTCGGTTAGCTTCATAGGTTGCTACTCCAGTCTTCACTGCCCTTTTCCATACCGGTCGGCCTTCCGAGATCATCGGTTTGATTTGCAGCACTTTCGAGGTGTTCTTGTAACGACAGATTTGACCTCATTGTCGACGAGCAGCCGTAACGACATCTCCATAGAAGTGTCGTTTTGTCGTAGTTGCACTTGCCTCGACATGGCCTGGATGCTGAGGATTCTAGTCCGTCCCAAAACTTCTGTGTCCGGAATCCTTTCCTACCACATCGGCGTCAGTATTCGTCAAAGACAAGGAATTGGTTGAGGCTCCTTGCTTGTTTCCTCTAGACTGCCCAGAGGCTTCAGGATGACAGCTTTGTACATCTCCATTTTGGCGGTCAGACGGAGCCTGTGGCGGTCCACTCTGCAATCGACCGAAGGCCTGATTGGTTTTGGAGATCCGTTGGGCCACTTCTTCATCGATTTCGATGCGGCGTGAGTGTTCTGCCTAAGTAGACGAAGTTGTTCACAGTCTTCAGTTCGGTGCTGTCGATTGGGTTGCGAGGACCAGTGTTTGAAGTTGTCCGCGGAGAGCAGTTCGTGGACAGTAGTCGTGGAGGGACGCGTTGGGACTTGCATGCACCTGCTATTGAGAGGATGACCCTCGGTCCTTTAGGCGCTGCTGATTCCGGGGGCGCTCATTACGGCAAGTGTCTATCAGCATGGCAGAAAACGTGAGGCTGAAGAGGGTTGGGGCGAGTACACAGCCCTGCTTCATTCCTTTTGTTACTGAAAGTGCATCTGAGACGGTCCCGTTGTCCGTGAAGCGCACCATCATCCCATCTTGGAGGTGGCGAACCATGTGAGTTAATCGCTCAGGACATCGAATTTCTGCATGATTGCCCGGAGTCCATTGCAATTCACTGTGTCAAAGGCTTTCGTCAGGTCTACAAAGGTGGTGTAGAGGTGGGTCCGCATTTCCTGACACTTCCCTTGCAGCTGGCGGGCGGCGAAGATTATGTCGGTGGTTCTGCGGTGACGCCGGAGACCACAGTTGCTTTCTTGGAGAAGTTCCTGCTGGAGAAAGCCGTTGAGACGGTTGTGGGGAATGCGAGCGAAGATCTCCCCAGCGGTGTTGCGCAGCGAGATCCCTCTGTGATTGTCCCACAGTTGGCGGATCCCTTTTCGTTTGTCGAGATAAATGTATCGTTGAAATCCTGAGAAACTTGTTCTCGACATCACATCTTCTAGAATAGTTTTTTAAGTTTGTCTACCAGCCGGGACCGCCGTGCTTGTAAACTCCTGCCGGGGTCGCGTTGGGTCCCAGTACTTTCCCGCTGGAGGGTTGATGCACGGTTCGGACCGTTTCTGGGAGAGAAGGTGGCAGATCCAGGACGTTGTTCCGGTAACAATCGGGAGATGGCACCCAAAAAATCCACCTAACCAAAGCAGCCTGTCTTACGGGACAGGTAGTAATAGGGGTTTTATGGGTGGTGGCTGGTCGGATGTACGATACTAGCCGACGGAAAGCCTTATTTGAACAGATGAATGATCGAAGTTGGCCCGCTCTCCGTTCTGTTAATACAAAATGGGTCGCCAAAGGCAGTATAGTGGTAACGGACGAGTGGAAGGCGTATAATCGTCTTCCCTCAGAAGGTTATCTACATTTCACTGTTAACCACTCAAAGAATTTCAAGGACCCTACCACCGGACAGCACACCAATGCCATTGAGGCATACTGGAGTAGACTGAAAAGGAAACTCCACGAGGGAGGCCCTGTATGTGGTCGAGCTGTGTGGGCTCACATAGAAGAAGTACAGTATCGTCCTTGGTTTGGCCTCAATGTCACGTCTTTGACAGATGCCCGGGAACTGTTCCTGTCCCATGTTGTGCAGACTTATCCTATTTAAAAGTGATATTGTTTTGTAATAAACTGCCATAATGCGAATGTATGCCGTATATTCAGGTGAACGTGTGTAACGATAGGGAAGGTTGGGTAACAGCGACCATCGTTCATGTAACCTCCTGCGATGTTCGTTCGGCCAGCCCATGTAATGCCGTCGGGGAAAGTCCAAGTAGTGCGTGAAAGTGGGCCTGCAACAGCTGATATAGCATGAGGGCGTTTGAGTCCACTGTTAGAGGTATTATTTCTAGGTAACGGATCTTTTGGGTGCCATCTCCCGATTTTTACCGTTGTTCCTTTCCATTTGACAGAGTCAGACAATGACGGCGTCGGAGATTGTAGATGGGCGGTTGAGGGCACTTTTGAAGTGCTCGACCCAGCACTTCAAAATCTGCGACATCTTGGTTAAACGAGTTTTTTCACCGGAGCCGAAAAAGGCCTGGTTCCTTTAGCTGTTGGGCTGTAGATTACCTTGATTATTGCGAAGTTTTGTCTTTTACTGCAATCCGCATACCCTTGGATTTCCTCGGCCTTCGGAGTTATCCCGGCGTTCTGCATGTCTCTCAGTCACTACTGTGCGGGATGACGTTCTCGTATGCGTCTCGCCGACGGTCAGTGTGGGTTTTGTGCAGCCTGTTCTTTTCAGCAATCAGGTTGTCCTAAAGCCGGTGCTGGTTTTAGCGACGTGTGCGTTCGAGGACGTCCAAGGCGGTGGATCGGATAGCATTCCACAGTTGAGACCACCGAATCTTCACGGTGGCCTTGTCGTTCGAGGTCGCCATTTCTTCTAAGCGCTATTCTAATGGGTTGCTTAAATGCAAACTCTGAGCAGACAAATTCGACAGGACAATATTTCATATTGAACCAGCTGTGAAAGCTCGGCGCGTCGGTGGGATTCGAACCCACGCAGTAAGGGGGCGGCTTTAGTACAGCCAACGCTCTAACCGACTGAGCTACGAGGCCCCGGCGGACGACGCGAGTTTAATCACATTTAACTTAACTTACCAGGTGGTTGCTTGCCGTGGGGGCTCCCGCGGGGTCGCAGTCGGGGCCTCGTTCTGGAGATGACGAGACGGTGATCCATCCAGTCGTTGGCCTCGCAAACAGCAGCGAATGCTGTAGATCGGGCTGCCAGACGAGAACTTGGTCGAGCAGCTGCCAACGCCGCGATCACAGGTACACCCAGATCGCCTTCTTCCACATTGGTGAGTAGGCGGTGTTCTGCGTAGGTCCGCGAGAGAAGCAGACCACTGTCTCTGTAACCGCCGATTACATTTGGACCCAGCACTTCCCTCCAGGCACCGTTGTCTGTCCCGACGCTGACGTTGAGGTCACCAAGGATGACTAACTTGTCCGTTACAGTCGCCAGGAGGGCTTGTGGCAGTTCGCTTCTACATTTCCTCCGCCTTTTCCACGCTGCCTTCCTGCCTGCCTCACACTCCGCCTCCTCAGAGCTGTTCATTGGGGGTGTAGACGCCGATAATTATGGCGAATATGGATCCCCGAAGAAGCAGACGCAGCCACATGAGAGAGAGAGAGAGATGTTGATTCCCTGCGACAGGCAGGGCATTCGTTCCGCGATGTCGTTTCAGATGGCAAAGGCGACGCCTGCGCCTCGTCACACTGCCTTTGGGCGACGGCTCCAAAGGAGGTGTAGCTAGCACCTACCTCTTCCAGTTGGCCCTGTTCGGAGTATCGAGTCTTTAAGTGAGCAGCGATGTCCGCCTTGTAGAGGGTCTGTTCTTGAGCGACTAGCGCCGTCCACCGTTCTGGCCGGTTAATCCTCAGGTTGTCAAAGGGGGAACGAGCATTCCAGGTTGTTAGAGCGAGCAGATCCTGCCTAGCTGTCTATGATGTGGGGCGGAGGAAGGGAGGACGAGGGTGGTGTTGTTTTTCGACCGTGAGCAGTGCTGTCCCTATGTAGGGCTGTGTGGACATCCCAGGTGGCTGTCGAACTCCACTGTGAGTCAAGGCTTCGATCCCAGTTAGACTGGTCCGCCCACGGGATTGCATGGCGTCCTCTCCGTAGAAGTTCTGAAAGTGGGTGGAAGGAGGGAGGATGGGGAGGGAAAAAGAGTTACCGAGTGTGGGGACACACACACAACACCGAATACCCTCACATTGTTTGGCCTGAACCTCAGAAGACACGCCAAACACAAGCAAACCCCACTGACTCGCGTATCTCTTCGACGTCTGCCGTTCAAACGCGGAACCCAGTAGCTAGAGCACTTGTAGTGCCCCACTAATGCGTGTGCTCAGAGCGCCACAATAATCTCCACCCAATCCTATTTTGAAGGCGAAATCGGAAAGACCAATAGGATTCGTGTATTCTGTGCACAAACTCAGCGCTGGTCCGAGTCCACGACTCTCTGGACTTACGCGCGCGCGCGCGTCTGTTAGCTAGGTTGATGTGGCTGTGAAGGAGTAAACGCTGCGTGAAAGCCCGTCAGCGTCCGCCTGGTGGGGTGATTAAGAGATTTCGGGGGAACTTGTAGTGACTCTACTCCGAGCTCCCGTTACAACGCTGCGCCTCCATTCGCGCACCAGCGGTAGTCTGGTTTTCGCCCGCTCACAGCTTTCCAACTGGCCAATCATTTTCGAGTCCGAGTCAACCTCGCTCTCGCTGAAGGCGCTGTGACGCATACACCGCTCTCCTGGCGTCGGACTTACGCCCTTCTGACTGCCAACTCCCTCCAATCCCTTCCCCGCACAAAGTATACTATTCTCACAATTTGCGTCCAAACTCCCTCTCTCTTTCTCTTCCGAACCGAGCCTGATGATCATACTGGTTAGGGTCCGTCTACGGCTTAAGTTGCTGCGACAAGCTTGTGGGCGCCTGTGATTGTTTATCTTAGGGGTTGCATGCATGTGCTGATCGCTCAGGAGGCATGACCACACGATGTCTGTCGCGGTGTCCGTTCCGGAGGCAGCGGGCCTCCGGTCTATTTGGACACCCTCGCGTCCCTCGTGTCAGCGCCACCACCACTACCACCACGAACAGGAATATCCAATTGTGCCAAGGTAGGTGGAAATTGTTAATCAATCGCTCAAAACCTGCCCACACCTCGAACGAAAGTTCCGGGCCAGGATTGCTCTTTTCGGCCATTTCTCTGCCCACCTCCGCATATCTAGCCCCACTCCACTCAGAGGGCAAGCAAATCCCCCTCGACGTCTGCGGTTCCAACGTGAAACCCAGTGGCTAGAGCTCTTGGAGCGCCCAAGTAATGCGTGTGCTCAGAGCGCCCCAATAATCTCCGCCCAGTCCTCTTTCAAAGATTAAGTAGGAAAGACCAATGGAGTTCGTGTATTCTGTACAGAAACCCAGTGCTGGTCAGATTTTACTGCGCGCGCGCGCGCGTCCGTCAGCTAGAGCGATGTGGTCGTGAATGAGTAATCGTTATGTGAGAGTCGGTCAGCGTCCGTTTGGTGAGATGATTGGGGGATTTTGGGGCTTTTAGTGGCCCTACTCTGGGCGGCTGTTGCAACGCTACGCGCCTCTCGCGCGCGCCTTCATTTGCGCGCCAGCGGTAGTCTGGTTTTCGCCCGCTCACAGCTTTCCAACTGGCCGATCATTTTCGAGTCCGAGTCAACCTCGCTCTCGCTGCCGGCGCTGTGACGCATACACCGCTCTCCTGGCGTCGGACTTACGCCCTTCTGACTGCCAACTCCCTCTAATCCCATCCCCGCACAAAGTATACTATTCTCGCAATTTGCGTCCAAACTCCCTCTCTCTTTCTCTTCCGAACCGAGCCTGATGATCATACTGGTTAGGGTCCGCCTACGGCTTAAGTTGCTGCGACAAGCTTGTAGACTCCTGTGATCCTTTAGCCTCGAGGCTGCATGCATGCATGTGCGGATGGCTCGGGATGCATGCCCACATGATTTCTACCCCAGTGCCGGTTCCAGGGGCAGAAGGCCTGCGGGGCGAGGGGTCAGAAACAGATAACCTGAGCAGCCCGTCTAACGGAAATGGTGGTAAGAGGGGTTATACGGGTGGGGCCATCGGACGCACGAAAAAGGAGACGAAGAAAGTAGAGAAGAAAATTGGGCTAGATCACAGTTGGTAGCCAGGACTCGTATTACAGGTGGCGGGGGGGAGGAGTGGAATGCGCTTTATTTTGAAATCGTAAGTTCAAAATTTTCAGCAAAATTGGCTCCATTCACTGTGGGTAGTAAATAAGTTAAGAGATTATTCAACAGTCAAAGAAACGATTATTATGGGGATAGTTCAAGTCTGAGCTTCTGTATTTCTGTCTCTTCGCACGTAAGATAGCGCGCTAGGAATGGCAATACAGAGGCTCGATAAGCCGATGTGCGACAGGGTATAAGACGGAAGTTGCGGCGCATCGGGCGGGAAGACTTGGCAGACATAAGATCGGAATGTAGGGGATGGGCAACGTCATCTAGAATTCGACCAGCAAATTGCTTGACCGCATTGAAGTGTCGTTGTAAGATTGTGTCAACTAAAAAAATATAAGAAACGCCAGCAGCAGAAGAGAGCATGCGGAGAATTCGTTTCAAAATTAAAAGATCCTTTTTTAACAAAGCAGGAAAAACGACAGGAGAACAGTATAGGATAAGAGGAAGAATGCAGGCATCAATGAATCGCCAGACTAAGGGCTGAGGTGTGTGGTAGGAACGCAAACGACGAATGTAGTAAATAAGTTTACGAACTTTAATAAATAGGGACTCAATATGGAGGGAAAAAGAAAGATTTGAGGACAAAGTAACGCCGAGATACCTGAAAGAGGATACCTCATTAGGAAAAATGTCAGAGGAATCAGGGTTAGGAGAGGGCCGCAGTCGAAAAATACACTGAACGGATTTTTGGTTGTTAATTAGGAGACCATTTTCCTCCGACCACGCTAGGACATGGTTTAGGCCATCCTTTAGAGACCGGAGGTGTGTCTGACTTTTGAGAGGGTGTCCAACAACCACATCGTCGGCATACTTGACCAGAAGACAGTCATTAGGGGACCTGAGAGCATCAGTGTGGAGGGAGAAAAGGTGAGGGGATAGAATGGAACCTTGAAGAACACCGCAGTCATTGGGAAGGGTCGAAGATTTCCGTTTGCCAGATTGAACAAATTGGGTGCGGAAGGTAAAATAATCGCTCAGCCAAGAGACGACCCAGCCTGGAAAGCCACATGCGGAGGTTTTGGAAAGGAGAAGAGGGCGCGGGACGGTATTGAAGGCGGAGGAGTAATCAAGAAAAGCGCACGCATACTCGCGGCAACCCTTGTCTAATGCTTTTAAGCAGAGTGGACCACAAGAGCGACAGCATCTAAAGTACTCCGTTTAGCTTTGTATGCGAATTGTAAGGGGTCGGAAAAACTGGAAGAAAAAGGCTTAATGATATCTAGGGCAACTCTTTCAGCAAGCTTTAGTATTGCAGAGGAGCAGGCAATTGGGCGAAAAGATTTAGGACCAAAGTTAGCTGGCTTTTTAGGGATGGGAGTGATTCTCACTGTACGCCAGGCGTCGGGAATCTTGGACTCCATGAAAGACATATTGATTAGGTGCGTTAAAATAGGGGCTATCTGAGAACTGCAAGATTTAAGAAGAAAAGGCGAGACACCATCCGGTCCGGCAGCTGTTGATCCACGAACCTTTTTAAGGTGTTTCTCTACTGTTGCCAAAGACACGGGTTGGAATGTACTCGGTGATAGGGGAATGTCTTCTAAGGGAAGATGGGAGTCATTATGACTAAATATAAAATTTTTATTTAGGGAGTCTAAATCTGCATCCACATGCACCAGCGTGTTGCGATGGCCAGTGAGACGCTTAAGATTTTTCCAAATCTCAGCTGAGGAAGGGGGGAAAGGGGGGGAGTAAGCAGAGGAAAAAAGTTGGCTGACAAACAGGCTATTTAGCCTGTCAATCTCTGTTTTTATTAAGACGGTAACGTCCTTAAGGTTATCACGTAAGCCTAGCTTGTAAAGGAGTTCTTTTTTACGTCTTAACGATTTCAGATAGGGGGAAGAAATTCTATCCGGTCGTACCATAACAGTATCAAAAGGGCAGCAAATATCGAAAATTTCATTTAAAAACGCTGTCAGGTTGGAAGAACAGGATTCAACATAAGAATGTTCAAGGAAAGTGGGAATAGTAAGAGAAATGCAAGTCTGAAGCATGAGAATGTTTTGGGCGGGGGTTGTTTACTGAGGTTTTTTGTGGGTCTACATAATCACATCTGACCCATTTGGCTTCCGTTTTACGTTTGAGGTTAGGATTGTGGTACCGGTTAACGTTGTCCGATTTCCGGGTTAGGATTATGCCTTTTAGGCTTAGGTTTTCGGGTTACGGTTAGGGTTTGAGTTTACGATTAGGTCACAGTATTACGGTTAGGTTTTACAGTTTGGACTATATCTAAGAACTAGGGTAACGTTTACGATTTCAGTTGGGGTTAGGGTTAAGGTAGCCGCTAGGGTTAACGGTTAATGTTTAAGGCTAGGGTTAGGT